AAGGGAGTGTTAATCAGACAGGGTTAGGGAAATGCAGAGACCCGTGTGTGTTCCTCGGTGGACATCGTTGTGCCCAACTGCTCCAGGTCGCCCGGGGACAGGGTCAGCAGCTGAGTAGGATTGGCGCTTCGCTCTTCCCCAGGGTGTCGGCCATGCATGTGCCCTGAAGCTCACGGGTTTGCATGGGTGTGATTGCCGCAGGGCGAGCCTGACCACCCAGAGTGCTGACTGGCCCTCAGGCCACACCATGTCCCAGCCGGGTCCTGTTGAACACTCTTGGGGGGCCGTGGAAGCAACAGGAGAGGGCCTCTCAGTGGACAGTTGCTGAGTGCAGGCGGCCCAGGCTGTTTCCCAGGACAGGCGTAGAGCCTCGGGACAGCTCAAGCCCTCGGAACTAGAAACTGAGAAGTCTCTAGGGCTCACCAGGTGCTTGATTCATTTGGCTTCATGTTTTGCCAGCCATCCTGTGAGCTGGGTGTCATGAACCCTGCTTTATACCCAGGAAATGATAACTCAAGAGAGGCGCCCACCTCATCCATCGCACTCAGAGTTGGAGCCGAAGCTCTGCCTGCATGGCTGCCCTGGGTGATAAGTGGCTGGTGGGGACGGAGGAGGGTGGCCCCAGCTGGGCAGCGTGGGGAGGGGAGTCCGTGCAGGAAGCAGAGACTGCACGTAACCTGCTCCCCCGCCCTTGGTGCTCACCCCTGCGTGGTCCCGCAGATACTATCAGACTTTCACCTGCGCCTTCTGGCAGCCTGCCCCCCACCCCCCTGCCCTGGAACCCTAGCTTCCGAGGTTTTAGCCTCTGCAGGGTCTTTGTCGTGATGCTTGGTGTGGGCACCACCTGTGTGGGCACTTGGGTTCCTGCTTCCTCTGTTCTTCAAAGTTGGTCACCCCACATCAGGCCACCTTCCATCTTCCAAAACTAAAACCTTGCAGGCTGTACCTTTTAAGGAAGGAGCCACCTTCCATCTTCCAAAACTAAAACCTTGCAGGCTGTACCTTTTTAAAGGAAGGAGAAGGCTTTTTTTTTTTTTTTTTTTTTTTACCAGAGGGGCCTTTGGTCTTGAGGGTAATGAGGAGAGGGAGGCAGAGACCACCAGTGTCCTTAAAATGCTCCTTTCCCCAGTTCGGCTTCTCTGAGTTGTGGCTCACAGCAGACTTGGAAGGGCCTTGGGGCTCAGACAGCTTTGCCGGCTCTGCTTGGGAAGTTATTTCTTTTTTTAAAACATAAACTGTTTTGAAGTGTAATGTACATACAGCTAAGTGCATGAGTCATAAATATTGCAGCTCAGTGACTTTTCACGGGGTGAGCACGTGGGTGACCAGCACCCAGCCGCAGCCCCAGCAGCCCCGTAGGATCCTGATTAGATGTTCTTTCGCGCCTGATTTCTTTTGCTCCACGTGATGGTGGTTGAGACTGCTCCTTGTGTGTGGCTGTCTTCGTTCATTCTCATTGCTGTGGGGTGCTCCCTGAGTGACTACACCTCCTGGCTGTGGAGGGTGGCTGGGTGGTTCCCAGTTTAGAACCATTATGAAGAGTGCTGCTATAAACACTCATGGATGGGTCTTTGGGTGTGAGTATGTAAGCATTTCTGGTGGGTCTACACCCAGGGAGGAGTTTCTGGCTCTCTATATGCTTGACTTTTGTAGGCACTATGGGTCCATCTTCTCACGTGGCTTTACCAGTTCAGCGCCCACCACCAGCGGCTGGGAGTTTCCGTTGTGCCACACCCTTGCCAGCACTTGGATATTTCTGCCTTTTCATTTTAGCCATCCTGGTGGGTATACAGCAGTATCACACTGTGGTGTTAATTTTCCTTCCGCTGATGACTAATGAATGCTTTTTCTTATGTGTATCACCCTTTGGGATATCCATTTTGGTAAAGTACCTCTTCAAGTCTTTTGCCTATTTTTAAAAAGTTGGGTCTTCTGACTTTTTTGATTTTTATGAGTTCTTTATATATTCTGGATATGAGGCCTATACTAGATACATACACCTATATCTATATCTGCACGGTTATACACAGACATACATACACACGTATTCATTCAACAGATAGGTGTCAAGTGCCGCCATATGCAAACATGTCACAGTCACTGGGGCACAGCAGTGAACAAAACAGACAAAGGCCCTGCACTCATGGAGCTCGAATTCTCCCTAGAGGAGACTAACAAATAAGGAAGTAGAAAGAATATGTCAACTGCAGTAGCCATGAGAAGGAAAGTTCAGTGGGAGAGGAAGTGTGGGAGTGGAGGTTAACACTGTAAATATGTCACCGAGAAGGTGACACGTCATTAAGACCCAAGTGGGAGAGCCATGCAGACATGCAGGGCCGGCGGGGGCAGAGGTGAGTGGAAGGTGGGAGGTTTCAAATGGGGGCAGGCCAATGAGGCCTGCAGGGCCACTAGGACCCTGGCTTTCATTTCACTGAGGGTCTGGGCAGAGGAGGGGCAGGACCTGACTCAGGTTTTAACAGGGCCAATCCAGCTGCTGTGTTGAGGCAGGACAGGTGGAAGCAAGGACACTGATTAGGAGCTTGTAGCAGTGAGTCCAGCCTCCTGTCCCAGTTTCCCGTCTGTCCCAGGTGTCCGTACTTGTGAGGATGTCCAGGGTTACTGTCATTCTGGAACCAGGCTTCCTTGCTCTTTGCTCAGAGCATCCTCTCATGGTCACGGGATGGGTGCACTGTTCCTGGCCTCATGGCCAGCCCACATCATCTGGGGTGCCTCATCTTTCCAGAAGCCCCCAGCACATGTCTGCTGGCCGCACCACAGCTGGTTCCTTCTCCACTTTCTAAAGCCAGCTCTGGCAAGGTCATTGTGTTCCTGTGCCGGTCCCCACAAGTCCTCCCTGCTGCACCTTGCTCTCTACGCCCAGCCCCACCCACAGGTTCAAGCAGGGGAGCACCCTAGCAGGGAACAGCCCTGGCACGCCCATCTCCCTGCTGCCTTGGGATGTGGATGTAGTCCATGTACACACATGAATGCTGAGGTCACACCTGTGAGCAAAGGCGAGAGAGCACCACCTGTGTCTGTGAGGACATTCCCACTGCAGACACTACTGGCAGAGGGTGCTCCTTCATCCTGGGGAAGCATCTACCTTATCAAGGTTCTTAGGGATGCTTGTGAAATTTGTGAGTGAGCATGTACAGAAAGGTGCAGTGGTGCTGCATATCGGCCTAGCCACCTCCTCTGGGCCATAACATCTAGAGAAGCAGAGGGGAAGTCTTGCTCGGGGTGCACAGGGTGTTAACTGCCCACATGGACTTCCTGAGGAAATACTGTGGCTGCCTGAGGGCCCAGATGTCCTGCAGGGCTGTGGGGTAGGGCTGAGGGCAGCAGGGGTAGGTGCCTGGCAGGCTCCCTCAGGGCAAAACCCCTCACCCCTCTTGGCACTGTGGAGCTGTCTGAAGGGGAAGAGTGGCCAGGTGGGCTCAGGACCAAGGGCCCAGGCTGGTCCTGGTTCCACAAGTCCCCTGCAGAGGCCAGTGTTAGCTTTGCGTCCTCTGACTGGCCTGAAATGAGATGCAGAAGCAGCAGGGGGAGACGGACAGTGTGGAAACTTGGGGGGCTGATGTGCCAGCAGTCTGCAGCCCTGGCCATTTCTGCTAATGTTGTCCCCCTCTTCCTGACTGCCCACCCACAGGAGCAGGTGCTGGAGCAGTGAGACCTGGGCTCCAGTCTTAGTAGAGAAAGTGGGGTGGGGGCAGACCTCCAAGAGAAGGACGGCTGTCTCCAAACTCCTGCATTCTCTTGGAGGAGGCTGGTGAACAGACTCAGCACAACCCCTAATTCCTCAAGACGGAAATAGCTGTCCAGCAGGACTCAGCCTCAGGGCCAATCTTGCTACTGGTGAGAGAACAGGCAAAGGAGAACGGGTAGCTGGGAAGAGAGATGGCTGTCTCACGGGCTGCTGGGGGCCGGCGTCCTGGGACTTGCCTGGACACTGACAGCATCACCTCTCCCCATCCCAGCCCCAGGGCTTGTTCCTGAGCTCTTCCGGATCCCACCCCCTCCCTCTCCCCACTCAGCCTCTGGGCCCTCTGGTTCTAGATCTCCCAGAGAGGGCGCTCTTCCCTCAGTCCACCTTTTCCTTTCAGATTCTCAGAGTCCGGGTTGGGGGCAACGCAGGAACGCGGGGGAGGGGAAGATCCGTCACCGGACAGGATTCTTTCTGAGCGCCGGGGCTCCTGGGGGCGGGAGGACGCCTCGCTGTGCCATGTGCCAGGTCCGACCCACGCCGTGTCTTAGAGTAGTCCTCCCACAAAAGCAGCTGCCGTGTCCCCTGTGTTCACTCAAGGAAACGGAAGGACAGAGAGTTCCGTGGGACGCTCGAGGCCAGAGCTGTGTGAAGTGAGAGCCCCGTAAGGGGAGGCATTCAAGCCAGACGCTGGCCAAGCACCTGCCGTAGCTCTGTAGTGGACCTCTACGATGAGGTGAGGTCGGGGAGGGGCAAGAGAGGCTCGAGGGAGGATATGGGGGCGCACGGGGCTCTCCGTTAGCTGGATCTCACCAGGACGACTGCTCCTACCGCGCGCTAAGCCCCGACCCACACGGCGCCCCTTCGCAAGCCCACCCGGCGCACCCAGCACCGACACCCTGCCATGGCCTCCGTCCTGACGCCACGGCCCGCTCCGCCTGCACTCCCAGCGCCCCCAAATCCAGCGCCAGGCCTGTGCGCCCTGCCCACGCCGCGCCCCTCCCGGCGCCCCAACCCCTGCACCTTCGCCACCGCCCTCCAAGCAGCGCCCCGCCCCTCCGGTGCTTTCCCCGCCCCTTGAGCCACGCCCCCTCGAACTCCACGATGCTCCGGCCCCGCCCCTGGCCCTGCCTCGAGGTCCCTCGGCCCTACCCCGTCCCTCGCTACCCCTTGGCACCTCACCTCCGCCCCGTCCAGAATCCTAGCGTTCCCGGCCCTGGCCGGGCCCCGCCTCCCGGGAGGAGACGGGCGTGGGGTAGTCCGCGGGCGGGGCGGAGGGTTGGAGCTGCAGTGGCGCGCGGGGAGAGAAGCGGCGGCACGCGGGACGCCCGGGGCGCCGGGAGACAGCGCTGGGAGCAGGCAGCCAGGATGTTTCTGGAGCCTCAGGTAGGGCTGCGGCGCGTGGCAGGTGCCGGGGCGGCGGGTCGCGGAGGCGGTGACGTGGACGAGCTCGCAGGGCAACCCCTTGGTTACAGTCGGACTGCGGGGGTCAGGGGTTCCTGGGCCGCCGAGCTCGGGAAGCGGTCCTGACCTCCGGACAAGGAGTGTGGCCATCCTGAGAACATCTTTGGCCAGGCCTGGAGGAAGCCTGCCCTTGGGAACCACTCTCTCTGTGGGTCCCCACTGAGACACCAGCTGTCAGGTGGGCTGCGCCCAGGGCTCAGAACGGATGGGCAGCCCAGGCTGCTACTGCCTTTCCTGGCACGGCCTGTGGACGCTGGTGATGGTCTGTGGCCGCGTGGCACCTGCACACCTGGTAGGGACCCATGTGGGGTGGACAGGGCCGGACAGGCAGGAGACAGCAGCCCCAGTGACAGGGTCGGCAGGAGGGTGGCTGCCCTGGGACTGGCACAGGCAGGCTTATAAGCGCCAAGACGACAGTGGATCCTTTTCTGGACTTGAACATAGAACCACCTGTTTGCCCTGGAGGAGGTGCGGGGAGAGGAGGTCTGTAATGAATTGGGCACGTGGGAGGTGTGTATGTGTGATGTGTGGGCGAGAGTGAGAGTATGTGAAAATGTGGGCATGTTTATATATGGAGTGTGTGTGTGAGAGAGAGGGAGAGGCAGGGCGGGCAGGACTGTGCCTGTGTGGGCCCACAGACACCTGTGTATTTAAGGAGAGTGAGGCCCAGCCTGGGGCTTCTAGGGGTGTGGACCTCAAGGTGAGGGGCAGCTTCCTTTCTACAGGAAGGGAGGCTGAGAACCTGTCCTGGATTAATCCCGAGCATGAGGCAGTGTTGCATTTCCATGGCTCAAACCCTTCCTTTGAGGCAGTCAGGCAATGTGATTCAGGTGCCGCTGTTCTAAGCCCTCAGCCTGGAGCTGACGGGCGTAGACCCGAGACCTCAGGCTCAGTGCAGGTGGGGCACAGAAGGGGACCACAGGTGGGCTGACTGGGCCTGGCTGTGCCCAAGAAGCAGGACTCATTTAGTCCTTCGTTCTTTCACTTATTCATTGCACATTTATTGAGCACCCGCTGTGTGCAGGCACCATGGATTCAGAAGGGAACCAGAGACACCACCGTCCCTGTCTTCATGGCTCACCTTTTAGCAAGAGAGGGAAAAGAAAAGCACAATCAAGAAATGGAATATGGAATGTTACGTGGTGATAAGCGCTAAAGAGAAAAAGTAACGCAGGAAAGAGGAATAGAACATATCAAGGGTGCATATCAATGGCAGGGTAGTTTAGGTTATCAGTGGTAACCAAACAACCCCCAAAGCCAGGAGCTTATAACAACACGTTGTAATTTTCACTTATCGGCGAGTTCTTCATGGTTTGGCGGGGCCCTGCTCCAAGGCTTCCTCACTCAAGGGCCTGGGCTGACAGGTCCCATGGCAGAGGGGGAGAGAGGCCCTTGCACTAACCTTTCAGTGCCCCAGTTCAGAGTGCCACACATCACTTCTACTCACTGCTCTTGAGCCAGATGAGTCACAGGGCCCCACTCAGTCTCACTGGGACCAGTAATGCCAATTCTGCTCAGCCCGGCAAGCAGGGGTCCAACACATTTGGTGCCCAGCACACTGACCACCAGTGTGGGGCAGCTGTTTGTGCCTTGGGTGAGGCAGTCAGGGGACGCCTCAGCCTGAGGACCTGCTGGAGGAAAGGGAGGGAGATACGTGGCGGTGGGAGCAGAGGAGCACAGCAGGAAGAGGTCAGGCAAGGCTTCGAAGAGGACCAGACTGGAGGCCGGTGTCAGGAGCAGAGCTGGCGAGCGTAAGCACAGGGGCCCAGGGGCTCAGACCAGGGAGGTGGCAGCGGAGGAGGAGAGAAGGGTCGATTTACTCTGAAGGTAAAGCAGGTGGCCTTGCCGACGGCGGAGCTGTGGTGTGGAGATGGAGAGGAGACAGCCCACTCCGGGAAGGAGAGGCGGGAAAGGATGCAGGTGGAGCAGGGGGTGGTCGGGGAGGAGGTGGGACAGGTTGACACCCCGGGGCCATGTCACCTGGCACTGGCTGGGTGTATGGAGTTAGGGGAGAGTCTGGCCTGGGGTGCTAATTTGGAGCCCCAGCTTGCTCCATCCTGCAAGCCTTTGCTGCCTCCTGGCCACGCCGCCTACACCTGTACCTGCTGGCTCAGGACAGCCTGGTCCAGGCACCACGCCCTCATCTTGCTGGGCCTGCCTGCTGCTGGGTTTGGAGGAGCTTCGTGTGAGCTCCACCGGGGGAGGCAAGGTGAGGTGGGGGGCCACAGCATCTTGTGTCGACCTGGCTGCCGTCCCCGTCCGAGGTTCAGGAGCATTGGGGGCAGTACCACCTGTAGGTCACGTACCCACCAAGCACAGGGACCACAGTGGTGCAGGGACTTTGCGGGCTAGGCCATCTGGGAGAGCTGCTTGGGGGTGGGGAGTCACACACTGGCTTTGGGATGGGTAGGGTTTGACTTGAGAGACGGAGCTGAGGTACCTGTGGAAGCTGCCTGCACCCTCCACAGTGCTGGGCTCCTTGGCCCTCACCCTCTGGGGAGCTGCTGTTGAGTGACCAGAAGAGGGCTGGTCTGTCAGGACTGTGGTGTCACAGTCCTGACAAACAGTCCTGATAAAAACAGGTCAGCCAGGAGACCTGTTTTATCTCCCTGCTCTTCCTTCACCTAACCCACTGGAAACCCCCTGCTCATCCTTGGAAGCCCACCTCCAAATCACCTCCTCCAGGATGCCCTCCTTGACTTCTCCCTACAGAGATAGTCCCTCCACCCTTGTGCCCCCTCAACACCCAGCCAGCACAGACCTCTAATCCCGAGTCTCTCATACTGCACTGCGGTGTTACTTCTACCCCTAGTGGCACACGCTGAGCTCCATGGGTTCTTCCATTTCCAGGTGTGCAGCACAGATCAGTAGGACCTCAGGGATGTTTGTTGACTGAATAAGTGAGGGAGGGAAGAAACAGACACGAGGGCTGGAATGGCCCACGGAGGCTGCCTAGTTCTGCTTCCATGTGTTACACGTGGGGAAGCTGAGGCCCACAGGTGCTGCGGCTTGCCTGAGTTCAGCCAGGGTGTCAGGGGTCACAGCTGGCCCCCTACCCAGGATGTCCACTGTGCCAGGTTCTGGGCTGGCTGGAGCCCTGTGGGTTCCAGGACAAGGGGAGCGCAGAGGCAGACAGATTGGAGGGCCCTGGGTGATCGGTCAGGTGGGAGCATGTGGACGGTGGCCCCGGGGTCTCCAGAGGAAAGCAGCCAGGGACCTCCACCGTGGTTCTTTGCTTCTCACCCCCTGTAGCCCTGCAGCCCCCAAGAGCTCTGGCCCTGTGGCCTCATGGTCGCCGGCCAGCCGGTGGGGTTTCTCTGGCACACCCACTGCCCTGTGTCTCAGCCTCCAGTGGAAGAACCCCACCCTCACTGTCCTGCTCACACCGGCCTGCCTGGCTGGGGCCAAGCCCACGGCATTCCCCAAAGGTCAGTGTGGCTGCCGCACGAGCCGCCCCCTGTGGTGAGTGTGAGTCAGAGAACTTGGAGCCAGCTCTCGCGTCTCCTTTAACCCTCACGAGGTGGCTGTTCCAGTGACACAAGAGGAAGCTGAGGCTCTGAGGTGTAAGGCAGCACCCTGAGCAGAGCAGGAAGAGGCGACATTCATTCTGGGGCTGGCCGACCCCAGAACCTGGCCACCCTGTGCGCACCAGGACCCCATGCAACCTCCTTAGAAGAGGGGTGGCAGGCCCCTAGAGGTGCCCAGCCCAGAGGGCAGAATGCTGTGGTGTCAGGGGTGTGTGGCCAGTAAGGGGGCTGTGGGCCGGGTGGCTGACCTGAGTGGCAGAGCAGGCCCACTGGGAGCAACATGTCCCTGCCCAGAGGCTGGGAGACCTGCAGAGCTGGGAGGCCCCAGGGCATGCACGCACGCACGCACGCACGCACGCACAGACACACACACACACACACACACACACACACACACAGGCACTGGCTCACACACACCCTCCTCCCTTCTGCCGCTGGGGTGAAAGCACGCACTCCACATGGACTGAGTTGGGATGTCTTTGGGGATGGGAATACCTGTCTCCAGGCGAGGTTGATAGGTAAGACAGCGATCTTTAAAAAATGTATGTTAGGTAATTGGTAATTAAGCTCTCAGTATTTTGAACAGATTTTTCAGCTGGGCTCCCTGGAAAACCCAGGAATGAATTTAATTCATTTCTCATGTATCTTGTTAACATTTTCTTATCTTAGTGTGTTTTCTGAAAGGTACAAAGCAACTTTAATTTTTAATTATTTTTTATTTTTTAACATCTTTATTGGAGTATAATTGCTTTACAATGGTGTGTTCGTTTCTGCTTTACAACAAATTGAATCAGCTACACATATACATATGTCCCCACATCTCTAGCAGTTGTCCTTGGCTTGATCTTCATTTTAATGAGGAGGCCTCTAATGTTTTACTGTTAAGTCTGAAATTGGCCCTAAATTTCAAATACATAATCTTCATCATGAGGTACATATCATTCCTACATTAATTGCCGAGCGTGTACACCAATTGCCGAGCGTGTACACCAGTTGCTGAGCGTGTACACCAAGAGTGGATATCATATGAGGCTTTCCTGTATATAGCAGAATCATCAAATGCCTTTCCTCCTGGGACCTATTAATGTGTTGACTTATTAGCTTTTCTGAGCTAAATCATCCTGTTTCTGGAATAAATCCCACTGGGTCAGGCTCGATTGTGCTTTGAAATGCTGCTGGGTTCATTCTGCCGATATATTGCTTGGGGTATTTTTCATGTATATTCATAGGTAAGAATTTATACCTACTTTTCTATTAGGGGAGATATTTGTCACATTTATAAATCATGGTTATGTTAGCTTCATAAAATGAATAGGAAAGGTTTTCAATATGAATTGTGTAGTCGAAATAGTTTAAATATCATATAAAATTATCTTACTCTTCAAGGGTTGAAGT